CCTCTTCCAATGTTCCCTTCTTCTGTGGGATCGCCATCCCATTATTAGCTCAAGCCAGATATCTCGTAGCCCTCTTTGCCCCCACCATTTCCTACTCTCCATTGAATCTATCACCAATTCATTCTACCTTTTAAATATTTCATGAATATGACACTGTTCTCCATGCCCACTGCCATCGCATTAGTCTGAGTTACTATTAGCAATTTGTCAGGGTTATTGCACTTGCCTCCTATCTGATCTTGCATCTACTTTTCCCCTCTTCCAACCCACTCTGCAGCCAGGGTACTCTTTTAAAAATGCAAATCTGATCATGTCAATCACAGACTTAAAATTCTTCAATGGCTCCCCATTGACCTTAGGATAAAGTGCAAAATCTTGTTTTTATTTATTTATTAAAATTATTGGGGTGACATTGGTTAATTAAATCAAATAGGTTTCATGTGTACAATTCAATAACACATCATATGTATGCTGCATTATGTATTCATCACCCAAAGTGATTGCTTGCTTGGGCTAGAATGTAAATGTGATAAATACATAATGCAGCATACATATGATGTGTCATCACCTTCCTCCACCAAATATTTGACCCGCCTTCCCCATATTCCTCTCTCCTCCCCACTGCTAACCACTAATCCACTGTCCGTGTCGGTGAATCTCTGTCATGTTTGTTTATTACTTTTAATTTTATGTTCCACATATGAGTGAAATCATATGGTTCTCAACTTTTTCTGTCTGACTTATTTCATATAGCATTATAATTTCAAGATTCATCCATGTTGTTACAAATAGCAGTATTTCATCTTTTCTCATAGCTGAGTACTATTCCATTGTATGTGTACCATGTCTTCTTTATCCACTCATCTTTTATAGGACACTTGGGTTGTTTCGATGTCTTGGCCACTGTGAATAATACTGCAATGAACATCAGGGTGCGTATATCTTTACAGATAAATGTTTTCAAGTTTTTTGGGTAAACACCCAGAAGAGGGATTGCTGGGCCATATGGTAATTTTATTCTTAGTTTTTTGAGGAACCTCTATACTGTTCTCCATGGTGGCCATACCAATTTGCATTCCCACTTAGCAGTGTGTGAGGATTCCTTTTCTCCTACAACCTCTCCAACACTTACTACTTGTCTTGTTGATGATAGCCATTCTAACAGGTATGAGGTGGTATCTCATTGTGATTTTGATTTGCATTTCCCTAAGAGCTAGTGAGGTTGAACATCTTTTCAAATATTTGTTGGCTATTTGTATAGCTCTCAAGAAGAGTCTATTAAGCCGCTGTCCATTTTTAAGTGAATTGTTTTTTGTTGTTGTTGAGTTCTATGAGTTCTTATATGTTTATTTTTTTAGCTTGACTTAGAAGGCCCTACAAGATCTTGCACAGTCTACACCTCCAACCTCAACTCTCACCACTTCATCTTTATTTCCACTCTAGCAAGAACACACTTCATTCAAATTCTTTACATACTCTATTCTCTACATACCACACTCTTTTTCAATCTAGGCCTTTAAACATGCCATTTTTTACCTCCCAAACTAGCTAACTCCTCAAACTAGGTTAGATCTCTCTGGTAACTAGGTCTGGGCATAATACATAGTAGATTCCTAAAAAAATATTTGTTGACTTAGCTGAGTAGAAAAGAAGACTGGATATGTACGGGGGCTTTGATAGATAAGCAAGTGCTTAATAAATACTATTGAATGAGTAAATGGGTGAATTGATAGAGATTTGTTTAATGAATAATTCTAATTTTTCCCCAATATAACATTAGTATATTTGTGTTTTTTTAACAAAAAAGGGGCTCTAGTTGGTCGTAGACAGAGCTGCCTATGTAGCTGACCTGCCAACCCTGGGGCAATGTGACCCAGTGATCAGCAAATGCTTTTCACTACTTTGGACAAAGGTAGCCACCTTTATTTAAGGAATCCACATAAAGGATCTGTTTCTCAAACCAGAAATCTTCTATGTGACTGACCTTCCATTAAAAACACAATTTCTTAGATTGCTTGCTTGGGCTAGAATGTAAATGTGTCTTTGCCTGAATAAGCCACACATATACTGTTCAACAAAAGTTTTCAATTATCTGTATCTTCTCAGTGAACCTGCCCGAAAGACTCTCAAATGACGAGATTGAGCAATAGGAAAAAGCAACTTTTCCTTTTAATGATAACTGTGATCTCTGACCCTGTTTTCTTGCTTTTGCAACTTCCCTGGTGCCTGAAGCATCTGGGAGGCTGGCTCTCAGGCATCTTCATTTGGTCATGCTCTGCCCAAATGGCACCCATGAGTAGGTCAGCTCTCATGGATGTGAAGACAAACCACACAGTCAAGGTGGTGGCTCTGTCCTCTCATCCTCCTAGTTAATATTTATTTTCAGCACCCGTTCGATGCAGTTTTAACCCTCTACCTATTGCATTGCTGTGACTTTTAGGCCATTATTTGATTTTTGTACTAAAAAAATGCTTTGTTACAAAAATCAGCACACTTTTTTTTTTTTAATCTGGAGAGAAGATATTATGGTGACTGAAAATATGGTGAGGTGTCAAATATAAATGTATAAAAGCCTTCTTGCTGTCCTGTTGGTCGTATTACATTCATTTTATATTTGCTGGCAATATTGGAGGTTTCTTTTTTGTTTGTGTAAACTCTAATTTCTATCAAGGTGTCATGAATTTTTAAAATTTTGTATTACATTACAACTGTCTCAGTGTTGGTTAACTGATTTTTGCCAGGGCCATTGTTGATCAAGCAAATAAATTCAACAGTCATTTGAGAAAAGAAAAAGGCACTCTGTAACAAATCTGACAAGTTCAATGACCGAAAGTAACCTCACAGGGTGGTGATCTGTTTATAAATTCTTAACTGGGCAGGTCATGGTGGGTCGTCATGCTCCAGGCCTATAAAAGGTTTATCTTTGCCTTAAGCAAACCCTGTCCATTTTTCATGTGCATATAGGTTAATACACCTTTTCCAGACCCCTCAGAGGTATAACCACCCTCAAAGTAGCACATAATCTTGTTTAATTTTTCTTACATTCCCTCCTTAATTCCAAATGTATAAAAAGAACTGCAAAACTATCACTCACTGGAGTATTTGAGATCTTGCTTCCCAGCAAGTCATCAGTTTGGCTCAAATAAACTTTTATAAATTTCTCTATAGGTTTGGATGTTTTTTTGTGTGTGTGTGTTGACAGTGGGGATAATACTGAATATCATTCTATGAAGAGAAATATGTAGTTTTAAGATTAGGAGGCAATATTTTAAAATGGGTTCCAAGCTATAACATTTCACTAAAATATGCTCTATAGATTCCATCATATAAAAAAAATCATGTAAGAGAAATCTATGAAAAGTTGTATGTTGACAAATTAGATAATCTAGATGAAATGCACAAATTCTTAAAAATACAAAAATTACCAACCAATTCAAGAGGAAATAGAAAATCTCAAGATACCTGTAACTAAGGTAGGAGTTACACTAGGGGCCCTCCCCAGGGGAGCCAACATGAGAAACAGCCTTAAAACAATATCCTTGACACAATAATGAGGAAATGACAGAGAAATTCCCCAACATAGGCATGTGCAGAAGGACAGCTGGTGTGACCTCGAATTCACTTCTGCTTCATTATGCTATCATTATAATAAATTTACATTGCGATTTTGGGCCCCCCCCTTATGGGCAAAACGAATGCATTATGGGTATATGCATGCTCAAAGACAAGAAGATTATGTATCTGTCAATCAAGGCTTGTAGGGGCGGGGCTATGGTGACGGGGAGGACCAAAGCTTTGCAAGCTTAATAAAAGAGCCCAAAGCAGGAGGCTTCGGGGCTGATCTCTCTTGGCAGTCCACTCTCCCTTCTGAGAGTGTACTTTATCTTCAGGGTTGACTTCTCTTAACAGCCTATTCTCTCATCTGAGAAGTGTATTTTTGCTTTCAATAAAACTTGCTTGCTTACAATCTTCTGGGCATCTCCCTTAATTCATTGTCACCTGACACCAAGAACCAAGGACCAGGAGTTCTAGGACTCCCTAGAACCAGTAACATAACAAGTACTGTAAAGAGCTAGAATCTGTTTCAAAAACCTTCCAAAGAAAAGTCTAGGACCAGATGGTGAATTCTACTAAACATTTAAAGAAGAATCAACACCAATCCTACTCAAACTCTTCCAAAAACAGAAGAAGAGGAACATTTCCTAACACATTCTAGGAGGTTAGCATTACCCTGATACCAAAGCCAGCAAAGATAATTCAAGAAAACTATAGACTAATATCCCTTATGAATATGATGGAAAAACTCTCAACAAAAAAATAGCAAACTGAATCCAATAGTACATTAGAAAGATTATACACCAGGACCAAGTAGAATTTATCCCAGGAATGCAAAGGTGGTTCAACTTAAGAAAATCAATGCAATACAACCAATATTAACAGAATCTCAATAGATGCACAAAATAGCATTTGAAACAATTCAACACCCTTTCATGATAAAAATACTCAGCAAAGAGCAAATGACAAGATTTTTTTTTCTTTTAGGAACTTCTGCAACATGATAAATGGCATTTAACAAAACCAACAGCTAATATACTCAATGATGAAAGACTGAAAATTTTACAGCGATGATCAGAAACAAAACAAAGATGTGTGCTTTTTGAAACAAGAGAGAGGTGGTGGTCGATCAACATTGTGAATGCACTAACTGCTCCTGAATTGTATACTTTAAAAGTGTTAACTGTATGTTATGCGAATTTCACTTCAATAAAAAGATTCGTTATATGAAATAAGTATTATAAGAATTATAATTAAGAGATTAATGTTTATAGCAGTGTTTCTTGAAGTGAGAACTTGTCAGAAATGTAAATTCTCAGGCCCCATTCCAGACTTCTTTAATCAGAAACTCTGGGATTGAGAGCCAGTAGTAGTCTGTTTGAGAACCACCATTAAGGCCAAGAGCACAATCTTGGCTAGTGAGGCTGCTATAAGCATTTTCTTACCGGACAGTTTTGGGTCCTAAATGTTGTACTGTTTCCTCTAGTTCTTAATGTGTCAGCTTGGAACACCTGTGAATTATCATCACTAAGAAGAAAAAGAAAACATTTGTCACTTACAAAATTTTTTTAAAGAAATAAGTTCAAATACTTAAATAGCAATGTCATTAATGTAAATGGCTTCTTTGTGGAGACAGCTGTGCAGATGTAGAAATTAAAACACCTATACACACATGCACACACACATTTATACAAAACTTCAGTCGGCTGAGCCTAAATAAGGGTCCGTATAAGGTAAGGAATTCTCAAGCATGCCACTTTACCTGTAGTCATGCTACCAAGAATAAATATAATTTATTGTGGCTTTGAATACATAATTTTCTGTGTAAACCTGTAACTGATTTAAATTTATGTTTGGAACTACAATGTGCTAGTACCAATTCCCTCTTAACTCCCAAACTTTCACACTAACAAGAGGGGTAACCAGTAGCAGGAATTGATAGAACCGATATTTTCAAACATGTTTCATTTGGCCTATTCAGTGTTTTGTTTTTGAATTAGTTGTGCACATTTCAAACACTGAGAGAGTTCACACAAATAATCCATATTCCAGATTTCTGGCTTCTATTGAACATTTGCAAGATGTTGCCACGCTGGGTCACATTCCCACGTGGCAACAATGATCTGAAGCTGAGCGGCTGCTGCCCGCTAAAGATGGTGCTTCCGTCCTCAGCTTTGATGGTGCCCACCTAGCCGGCCCCAGCCCTATTTGGGACCCTGCAGAAGTTATTTTCTTTTTTATGTCTTCTTTTTGTTATAACTTTTTATTTTCAAATAGTTTAAGACTCACAAGAAGTTGTGACAATACAGAAGTTTCCTGTACCTTTCATCCAGGTTTTCCTAATGATAATAAAAAAATCATCTTTAACATTTTCTTTTTTGCCCCCTAAATCCAATTGGGTGCCAAGTCTTCTAGGTTTTACTTTTATGATCTTACTAATATCCATCTTATTCTTTTCAGTCTCCTTGCCCCAAACCAATTTCAAGCTATTTTACTTTTCCACAGACCCTGCAATAGTCTAATTAGTCACCTCACCTCTGTTCTTTCCTTACGGCCATCTCTCTAACAGACTACCTGATCACCTTCCTAGAGAATAGCTTGCTCTCCTGCTCACAACTTTCTGTGACTCTGAACTGCCTGCAGAATTCAGTTACTTACTATGACATTCAAAGCCTTCCACAATTTAGCTTCAAACTTTTGGATTTCATATACTAAAATTTCAAAACAAAATCTTGGCACAAACATATGGTGGTGACCATTTTCTTTGGTCAAGTTAGGACATTTAAAAAAAATCTCACCACCAACACCATTGTTTCATTTATAAAAGGACATTTATGTAGTAAAAAAAAAAAGTAGGAATAGAAATCTCAGAGTAAGGTATAGTCCTGCCCAAGTAAGGATGATCGGCAACTATATAACAACATATTTAAGTATGCTGTGCTTAACTTCCTTAAAACTATGAATTGGTGAAAATGTCACCCAGGACAAGCAATGGTCAGCAGATGAACATTTGGGACCGAGTGATACAGACAGAGTTGACCAGCTTTCCGGAATACATCTATGCTTTTCTGCCTCCAAGTCTGTTCCATATACTTGGAATGCTGTCCCAGTTCTCCAGCCCTCTCTCTTTCAGTCTGCATCCTATTAATCTGTTAGGGTGCGTCTCAAATACCACTTCTCCAAGAACCTTTTCCTTATCCTTCATCAATTCTGCTGTCATTTCTTATTCCTTTCATTGAATTCCCCTAACACTTTTTTCCCTCCCTAAGCACAGACCTAATTCTACCATATGTTTAAGGCCTTCGTATATTGATTTTTCCTATTAAATTAAAACCTTATTGAGCCTTGAGGTACATTTTGCAGCATGGTAATTTGCATATAGCAGGCAGTTAACTCAATACTTTATGAGAGAATATATGTATGGGTTTAATTTTACTGCCTTTCCCAGTCATTTTCCTTATAGGAGTATATTCTAGAAGTCACTTATGAGGAAGTTAGGAAGATGCTAATGAGTTACACATTTCTACTATCTTTTGTTGGGCGGAGGGAGTAATTCTTAAGGCTGGCAATTATGTTCCCTCTAAATTTTTGCCTGCCAATTTTATTTAATAAGACTACAACTAAAAGAAATCGAGGCAGTATATACTTCAATTGGTATGAGTCACTCAGCATGATTTCATAAACTCCTAGGTGATATCTGGAACTGAGTTAAGTGCTATACTTACAACTTGGAAAAAGTGAAGATAATGTAGCTAGATAGATGTTCAATGCTCCACATCAAATGATCAGTAAGCAGCTCTGTCTAAATTACAATATATTTATGTCAATTATATTCCCAAAGCAATCATTCTTCATGGCCACTATTGTTCTTCCAGGTTTGTAAGACTGTACTAAATCAGATAGTGACAAAGTTTTTCTACAAAGAGCCAACAGTAAATACTTTGGGCTTTGTGAACTATACAATCTCTGTTGCAACTACTCAACTGTAGTGGGAAAATGGCCATGAACATTAAGTAAACGAATGGGCACGGCTATGTTCCAATAAAACTTTATTTAAAAAACAAGGTGGCAGGCTGGATTTGGCCCGTGGGCAGTAGTTTGACTTTGAGGCAAAAACCATTTAAATGCAGGGTCAGGCTAGAGGTATTTAAAAGGGGAAGGCACTGGCAAAAATCCAATAACTTAATCTCTAATTCCAGTAAGAGCCAGAGAAGCTGAAGAGAAAATGACTATCTTTAAATAAAGTTATTGACACCAGTAGTGAAGTCAGCCAACTAGAGGGCTAAAGAGTACAAAGAACCAAGAGGTTCAAAACTTTTGGCATTGGTATTTTTATTAATATAAGATGTACACAAAGCAGTGCAGAGACTTCTTAAAAACAGTAACACTTGTACTAAAGAGCTGACATTTAATGAACAAATTCTGCAAATGCTGGTGCAAGAGAGATTGAATCTTTATGTACAGGAAACATCAAGCAAAATTGGAAAATTACCTGAAAGGAGTGCAATGATATTTAGCGAGCTGTGAAAGAGGCAAAGCAACAAGTATTAGAGGCCCAGCTAAGGAAAGGTGAGAAAAGTGAGCAGTGTACATGTGCAACTGAAAAGAACTGAGGTGAATATGAATTCAACTAAGGCTGTTTCATTCTACTTTGTTTTTCCTTCAGTGTAACTTTTCTGACCACACCCTAAACTTGCCACAACAGCACAAAATATGCCCTCAGATCATTTGGATGAGTTTCCTGACCTCAGGCATGTCATATATCATTCCTATCCTTTCTTTCTCATAAACAAGAGGCTCTGGACTTGATCTACTTTGTGGGTTCTTTACCTTAAACTCCTACTAGATAAAGATACAATTACCCTGCACCCTTCTGTACAAATTTCACTTCATACATCAGGATCTTAAGCTATGGAATTCAACACTGCAACTATGCTCTAATAATGATAAAAATAAAAATTTCAAATCTTTTGCAGAACAAAGCAAAGTATGAGGGAATAGCTCTGATCACTCTCTATGCTTCCAGAACTTTGGGGATTGAAGAAGGCGGCCTGCACCCCAACACTTATTAAACAGGACTCACATGTTCCTTCAAGTATATACCTTCTATTATCTATTGGCAACTTGTTTTTTTCATTTCATAAGTCTTCCAATAAAACCAACATTCTCCCTAAGTGCTTTCTCCTACTAGCAGAATGGGTCCATAATTCATTTATTTGCACAATGGGATTAGAGTAAAATCCTGAATTTATAGGATGTTCTTGTTCTCAGCACAACATGCAGAGGTGCCCCTGACTTATTTTTCTATCTGCCTATTAAAAATGGGAATGTATTATTTTTTCGTCAGTTTGCTTTTTACTTTGCAACTTTTACCTCAAATTACCAGAAAACTGAATTTCTTTAATCAGTTTAGCTGTTGAGTAACGGTGGATAAAGCACTAGCTTAGGAGTCAGGAGCCAGATTCTTAGTACTGGCTCTACTACTATGCCATTTTAGAGATTTATGGATTTATGGGTCTTGGTTTCCTCATATGTTAAACAAAAACGGTAGACCTAGTTTTTCAGTTCATGTCTAATGGTTGTGATTTATAACTATCAGTATGATGCCAGCAAAAGGGGGCGGGGCAAAGTTAATAACATGTAGTGAACACACTTTTCAGACATTTTTACAATATTGAGAAAACTTTATGATGCTGGGATATGAGATTCGAGATCTCACTTTAAAATTCTGTTTTAAGAAATAATAAGCTTGAGTCATGCCAGACCTTTGGATATGTGCAGAAAATACTGTTAACTCTCATTTAGGGCAGTGTTTCTAAGTCATGTGCATTTTTCATTATGAGCCCTCAATGAGCCTTTTTATTTTATTCTTGTTTTTTTCTCTTTTTAAATTTTTTTATTTATTTATTTAAATTTAAAAAATTTTTCATTATGGTGATGTTGGTTAACGAAATCCAGTAGTTTCAGGTGTACCGTTTAGCAGTAAGGCATATATATATTGCATTATGTGTTCACCACACAGTTAGATTTCTTTCTGTCAACACATATTTAACTCTTTTACCTCCCACTTCCCCTCTCCTCCCCTACCCTCTGGTAACCACTAGTGCATTGTCCATGTCCATGAGCAATGAGCCTTTTTAGACATTTCTTCCAATCGCTCTCCCTTGAAAATCCCCACAAAATTTCCATATGAATGTATATCTGTGCTTTATACATAGAAAGAGTTATATATTTTTTCACGCTCCCAAAGAACCACATTGGGGACAATATCAGCCATTGAGAATGCAAAATTTAAGAGATGAACTTTCTGTAATACTTAAACTTTTTGTTCAAATAAAATTAGGTATAAAAAAGGTCCAAGTCGATTTGCTTGACAACCATGCTTGAGGTGAAGGTCAGAGGTGACAAAGCAGCTGAGAGAACGGCAAAAATTACTGTCCTCGCAGAAGATGTAGAGGTGAGGGTGGGGAGTGTTGGGTTTCTTTAAAGGAGTGTATAAGGAATGGGGCGAAGTTAGAAAAAGTGCTCCGCACCATTTAGTTGCTGCTTTCGGGTGTTGGTGGACTGTCAGAAGAGGACGTTTAGGTTCATATATACATGTCAACCTCAGGGTGGGTGTGTGCTCTCTCTCTGGCTAAGCCGTCCCACCTCTCCCATCCCCCTGGGCTGAGGGGTGGGATCTCTGGAATCCAAAAACAAAGGAGATGCCTGCAGAACCTCGATGAATGAAGGGATGTGAATGCTTCCGGAACTCACTTTCCCCAATTCTTGCCACCCACTCCCCTGCTTGCCTCCTCCAGTATCTTAATCCTGCTCACCCAAGCCCACTGATCAAAGGGGCACTGTTGAATCGTCTCAGGATGTTGCCGTCAGTGGTGGTTGAACTCGGCTGCAGCTCCAAGTCTAGTTCCATTTTCTCCTGTGTCATATCCGTGTTGAGGAAGAAGCTACTGTTTAGGTCTAAGTTCTCAAGGTTTTCTGGCTCCCGTTCACAAAAAGGCAAGTTAATTTGGTGAGATAATGTAGGGAGGGAGAAAAGGGGGAAAAAGAGATGAGAGGAGGAAGCTCTTAGACAAGAGAGGTGCTCATTTTTGCAGCCCTACTAACCCTAACATCAACGGGCATAAAGTGGGGCAGGACTGGCTCTGAACCGCCTACCCTCCCCCCCAAGCTCGGGTCCCCTAACGCTGAGACCTTCCACCTCCAACCTTATCATGAAAATGAGAAATTTATCTTAGTCACCTCCGCGAATATTTCTCCTTTTTCTCTCTCAGCCAAGGGTATGCCAGGTAAGCCTTTCAGGTTAAAGCAAAGACTACAACCAGCGGACTTGTAGAATCTCTTGGGCACCGCCCCTCTGCGCATGCGCTCCGTGTCTGGCGCACCAGTGCCCGCTTATACGCAAGCAATGAGCATTATTGCGTGTACCTTGGTCAGTCTAGGCTAGGGGCGCACGCGCATTCAAGGAGCCGCCTGTTTTTGCCGAGCTCAGTCCCCCCGCCTCTCTTCCTAGTGAAAATTCACTGAGATCGTTCCTTTTCTCCTAGTTAACCTTGAAATGGTTTCATTAACCATTATTTAGGAAACAAAGGGTGGGGGAGGAGTAAGATGTATGGGAGATGTTCTTTCTGCCCTATGCCTCTCAATTTTCTCAATTTTGGTTAACCCATTAACCCCATATGACTGAGGCCAACAAGCTTGTTACCTCTCATGACGAATTTTTCCATCCTGTTAAACTAGACACACTATACCTTTGTAATTTTTAAAAAACTAAAGCCTGGGGGGGAAAAAAAAACATAACCACTCCTAAGTGCTTAGAGGCCACCTGCTCTCAAAGGGTCCTGTTTGGGCACTAGCTCAATGGAATCAATTGTGCAGATGGATCATTGTTTTCCATATAGCTTCATTATTTTTTTTTTCATAATGATACAATGTGTTTTACAGTGAATAAACTATAGCTCCTCAAAACTATTCATCTAAGAAAAAGATTTAAGTTAAAGCAGGGAGGCTTATTTTCTTAAAACAAATATCTCAGAATTTAGTATCCATCCAATCAGTGTTTCCATTTAACAATGCTGCCATGGCTCAAAATATTTTAAGAACTACCCTTTTAGAATTTTTTACCATCAGTTAATGAGCTTTAATTTTGTAAAACCACGCATTTTAGGAACCATATAGAGAACTGGCAGAGAATGCAAGTGCAACTAGTGAAATGGGAGTTATTAATTAAAAGTCACAATATGGCATAGCACTTTACAGTTTAAAAATTGTTTTCACATACTTATCTCAATTGGTTCAATCATTAAACCTGCTCAACTAATCAGTGGTGAACTTAAAATGAGATTGTCTTGAAATAGTTCCTGACATGTTATGACATGAAAGATCATAATAATTCTTCCTTCATTCCGAGAATAGAATAAGAAAAGCTTAATTATATTAGGCAGAATTAGGTTACCTAAATCCTAGACACTAGGATGATTTGAAGTCATCATTCCGATGGAAGATGGATTAAAAATAGCCACCATTTTGGGGGCACTTACTCTGTGCTAGGTACTGTCCTAAGCACTTTAGATATGTGGTTGCATTTAATGCTTACAGTAACTCTTTGAGGTAGGCACCATCACAATACCCATTTTTCAAAGGAGGAAACCAAAGCCCAGAGGGGTTACTCAAATTACAACTACTAAGTTTCAAAGCTAAGATTCCTCTGCCCTTCTATTTAAGTGAAAAGACAGACAAGGTACCTCTGGATATTCTCCTGGACACTATTTCTGTACTTATAAGCACTTGATAAATACTTATTGTTCTATGAATAAATGCAGGTTTAATAATCCATCCTTCACAGGTATCTTGTAAAGTAGGTAAATCATTTCTATTCTACAGTTGATAAAACTCCAGAGACATTAATAGCACATAATCAGGTAGCAGTAGAATCTGAGCTGGTACAAAGATCTCTTGAAAGCCACTGTTAAAGTTTCCAGGGTACTTAAATGTTTATGAAAGATGGCAGCTAAAGATGAGTAAAGCCAAGGTGTATGCAAGAGGCAGTGGTTAAATACAGAACGGTGGGTAAAAATCAAACTGAATAGTAGGAAAATATGGAGTACACCAGAAAACAAATAGATCTTACCTCCACTGTACAGCTCATTTTATTTTTCAAAGTTCGTTAATATTCCTGGCAGGTAATAAAGTCTAATGGATATATTTTGAATGAATAGACAAAATCTTATGCCTAAGCATTACAGATAACTGATTTAAAAAATCTAAGTATAGTAACACTAAGAAAATAGGCATAATAAAACAAGGAAAAAGCAACTAAGACTGTTTCTAGAAAAGAGATAGTAATATGAAATGACTAAATATATGAAATGGATAAGTTTCTACTTATTATCAAAGAGGAGGGATTCTCTCTAAAGTGCAGCTACGTGTCAGGAACTGAAAACCCGTAAAGATAGAGACCAGACTCAGTACATACACAAGTTGGCATGTCAAAAGGAACAAGTAAAACAAAAATAAAGAATTCTGTATGCTGTAGTGGCAAACACAACATTTAAAGAAATTTTAACGTCTTCCCATATTTACCCACACATGATTATACCAACCTAGCTGTGTTCTATGATCAGCTCTTGCTGTTCCGAAGTAATATGCCATGCTTTCAGATTGTTGGTTTGCTTAGATCTTTACCTTAGCAGTTATGCTACTGCTGTTTTTGTATGTCTGCTGCCGTCTGCCCCAGGACTGTTACTTGTAAAGGGTATCCCACAAGCATGTCATAATGAGCTCTTTGTTTTACCAGTTGTCATGGCAAATTGTAAGCAACATGTTAACCTTTAGTTATCACAAGAGCAAGTTGACCCCAAGCTCACAAATCACAAACAGCCTAACTCTCCAAAAAGTATAGATAGGCAAGAATGATATGAATAAAACCTGGAAATGATGGCTAAAGTAGCATCCATCTTATCACATATCCTTGAGTTTCTCCTAATTATTAAGTAGAAAGGGATTCTACTAAATTGTTTGACTTCTCAGAGTTAGGGACTATGCATGTGGTCAACAAATGATTGTTTAGTAATTGTGAACAATAGAATGTACTATAATTTTTTTAGTAGATTGGGCGGAGGGGGTTGCTGACCTTGAGATAAAGAGATACATAAATTGATCAAAAACAGTTTGCATTTCTAATGCAGATGGCAGGAAAATATAGGAAACTTTCCAAGAGTGCTTTAAAAACTCTCATATTACAAATAGAGAACAAACAATCAAGAATAAAATGATGAATGGGCTTGGCAAGTTTAATATGGGACAATTGAACTGAAGAGGCAGATTAAGCTAGGTTTGCTAAATTTTGAAACCAATTTCATAACCATTAAATTTCCTGTACTTTCTGCACGTGTATGATTAACACAATGCAATGGTCATCTTTCTCCCAGGGTCGTTCAGGTGGTGAGGATTGAGTTAATATTTCTAAAGCTCTAAAGAATAGTGCCTAGTGCACGGTAACTGTTATGTAGATGTTTATTAAATAAAATAAATTTCTAGTCTCTATATGCCGAATATGGTTGTTAAAGTCTCCATAAATCCTAGAAAGAAGGAAAACAAAAACAAAAACAAACCTTCCAGTTCTGCTACTTACTTGTTTTTCTGGAATTTTCCTAATATAGTTAAAGCTAACGGTGCTTGTAAAATGGATATGAGTGCTACTCGCTAAATATGAATGCTCATTAGATTCTGTTCTTACACTACTTTATTTTTTTCCACTTCTCTTTAGTCTAGTGCATCATAATGGATCATCTAAAAAGGAAATTCCCCTCCAGACAAAGACCAACAAAATCGAAGGGTTTAAAAATGAGCGGGGATCACAGAAGTCAGAGCACATAAATTGGAAACGCAATAACGTGGAAACCGTAAGTTTCCATTTCCCTTGATTATTAGTTCAAACTCCTCCTGAAAGATGATGCTTCAGTGTCTCCAAACTATTGGTTCTTTTCAAAATTGGGCGCCAGGGTCCCAGGGCCAATGCCATCGAGGAAGATGCGGGGCCCCCTAGAAACGCTCCTCCCCTTTGGAGGAAGTTTGCGGGGCGGGGCTTCCACGCATGCTCCGTGCCTGTGGGCCCATTGGCGCGGCCGCTGGGCGCGTGCGCAGCACCCAATGGGTGCCCGGACGCGGAAGACGTGGTCCCGCGGAGGCTCCCGCTTCTGGAGCGTGGGAGGCGCAAGTGGCGGCAGGTTGTAGATTTTGGTCTTGGCCCCAAGGGGTTCCCCCGGGCCATTAGAATCCAAGAGAGGAAGAGTAGTTACCGCGGCGGCGGCCGAGGGGCCGAACCCTCAACTGTCCTCCAGGCGGGAGGGGTGCCAGGGAGGGGAGAAGCACCGATCACAGGGCTGAGGAGTCTTCAGGACTGGTCCCGGAGTATGGGGGGCTGGACCAGGTCCCTAGGCATGGGGAGCTGGAGTCGCCGAGGCCGCCTGGCCGGGCCCTGCCTAACTGTTAGCTCCTTGGTGCTAGCGCTGCCAGAGCAGCCGCGGTGTCTGTAGCCCGGCCCCACTTGAGGTCGTCAGCCGAATGATAGCAGCATGAGTCCCTCCGCTGCCTAGTTTCCTCCCCTCCTCTTTTACCCCTGTCCTCTTTCCTCTCCTTCCTCTTCCTCATACATTGTCCTTTTCCTCTCCTGTGCTCGTCTTTTCTCTCTACTCTGGCCTCCTTTTACCATATCTTTTGATTCCTTTCCCCCTTCTGTCCTATTCCTTTTACCCCCTGACCTCCTGCTTCTCCTTCTATCCTTTTCGCCTCCCTCTTGCTCTTTCCCATCCTCCTCCCATCCCTTTCTTCCACATTTTATCGTAAGCCTCCACCACAACCTCTCCATTCTCCCCTCCCTCACTATCATCCTCCCTTCCTCATCCTCATCCCCCTTCCCTCCTCCTCCTCTCCTGCTTTTCTCCGCCCCCAAGCCTCCGCCCCTTAGCCCCCGCCCCCAGCTGCCAGTCCCCAGCAGCTCAGTCCTGCAGTGAGAGTGTTGGGAGTCCATAGCTAAGCACCAGGAGCTGAGCACTGTCCGCTGTGCCTGCCTGCAAGTCTCCGATATGGCTCAAGAGAAAATGGAGCTGAACCTTGAGCCTGACACATCTGATGGGGCCACCCTGAGGAGATCCAGCAGCGCTCCCCTGATCCATGGGCTTAGGTGAGCAGGGTTGGGGAGGAGGGACTACGGGGATTCAAGGGTTCCTCGACCCCCTGCAAGCAGTCTTCCTTCCCTAAAGTGAGAGTTGGAACTCATTTAGGGTCTCCAGACTGAGGGGCTGAGGACTTGTTTGCTTGGCAGTGACTGGAGTCCTGAGGTTGAGTGAAAGTTTGATCTCAAACTCTGTGTGCAGTGTAGGGACAACAGGGCCCTTTCTACCTGGGGCTCTGTTGGCCCACTCTAAAAGGAACTACAAGAAGCTTCTGGCTCTTCTCACAAGTTGCTTGCCCTGCCTAATTTACACTACTGAACATCAGACCGAAGCCCCTGGAACTAGATTTGCAACTTGACACCTGTCTCTAAGAGCTGCTATTTCTAAGCTTGGTTTAGGAACCCTGGCCTTAACAGAGCTTTACTTTAATAAATCACAGTTTATCTCATAACTTGAAATTAAATGGCATGATCATGTCATATTAAGTGATTCAGATTCGTCGTAATGTTTTCAAATCCTAAAACTGCCTGAAATGCATTCCAGTGAATTAAAAAAAAAAAAAAAAAGAGTGGCATGTAGCTTAGGTCAGTGAAAATACAGGTTTTACAAAACAATAGAAAGAATCCACCCTTGAATTTTAGTGGTAGGGTCTTGTGGATAAGTCACCAGAGGGTCTATTTTAAGTAGAATCTTGTGATAGTGAACGTTAGGTTGGCAGACCTCCTGAGCCTATTACATTTCACTTTTATAAGTAGATAATTCATCTTAACCAATTTGCAAGACCCTGTAGAAAAGGAATTAGTCCAGAATAGGGGATGGGAGTAGAGTTAGCCAAAAACATTAATCAAACACAGGGAAGGCAAAGACAGGTAATCCTTGTCTATAAAACTGATTATAATATCCTCAAAAAGGGGAAAAAAACAGATTTATTATTTTTTTTCTTTCATTAAATTTTGAAACCTAGGGAAGGATGGAATGACTCCTAATGCTATCCTCAGTTCTACATTTATTTCTGATACTATAGGAATCAACTCATCTTTTTTGGTTGTCTTTTTAAATACGGTAGGCAAGCAATTGCTAGGAACTAGGATGATCCTGTTGACCTGTATTTAGATTGCTGTAGAAATAACATACTGTTTTTTGAATCACGATTTAAGTAATTACTTGAAGAGTAGCGTGATGATAGAAGAAGAGGTGAACAGACCAGGCCTAGTCCTAATTTTCTCCCTGACTGGCTATGATTATGAATGAGTCATTTAGCCCTTCTGAGTCTCTGTTTTCTCATTTAAAACATAGGAGAGCTGGATTAGGTGGTCTCCATGGTCCCAATCCTGAAAATCCTTTTTGACCTCTTATCATGGGCATACACTCTGCTGGGCACTGCAAGATATTGTACAAAGAGGAACAAAACACTTCTACCAAGTGGTTTAAGACACAGGCATAGTTTTCTTTAATAAAAGGGAAAGTTGGTGTCTCCGTAAGCATCTAATTTTCCATTGTGCTCTTTTGATTCAAAGGAGGGAAAGATTGCATTAGTTTTGTGAAGAGAAGAGAGGTTTCATAAAGGGCATGGCATTTGAGATGGGTGTTGAAGGAGAGGAAGGATTTTGACAGATGGTGGTGGGAGGAAAGAAGGGCGCTTGAGGCAGAAGGGACAACATGGGCAAAACTCCAGGTATGTTTATTTAGTTGGTACACTTATTTTTTAGTCGGATAGTGGGGTTCAAAGGTAGAACACGCGTTAGGGCAATAGTGGGACATGCTGGTCAGGCTCATATTGTAGAACAGGGCTCCCCAGCCCTTTTTATGTCATGGCACACACAGAAAGCAGTACTGTTTGTAGGTCCTTTGGGGTAAACAGATGAGGCTTCTCATTTGTGTCTGGTGGTAACCGGTTTGGGGGGATGAGCTCTGAGCAGAAGCAGCTGGAGGCAGCCAGTCTCGAGCTCCGCCCCATGCCTCTCCTAGTTGTCCCCTAACCACCAACGGAGATCAGTATCTCCGCCAACCTGTAATCCACAGCACACCACTTAGGAAGCTCTGAAGAGGACGGTGAGGAGTTTATTCATTGTATGAAATGAGGCATCGAAGATTTCATTGATAACTAGAGAATTGGGATTAATATAGTCGAAGAATATCTTAAATGAGAAGACATTAATAATTTTATTTTTATTTTTCAGTGACCTTTCACAGATTTTTCAGGCTTACCCATTTAAAACTCGGAGGAATAGTACAACGATTATGAGCCGTCATAGCCTGGTAAGTATAGAAGTAAGTATCCTTAGTGGTTTCAATTGGGGGAAGCACTTTCAAATGTAGTTCTTTCTTAAGATGATAATGCTATGCACAGATGTTTACAATAGAAAAAATTATTTTACCTATCTTGTTTGCTGCTTAATGATGTGGCCATTTTCAGCGCAAAAGAGGAGACCCGGTTAAAAATATTTCTTGCCTGTGGGACTTGGTATTTTTAAAAATTATTCATTGTTTTGTGTCACTACTTCCATCATGGTTGTGAGGTAAGTCAGGATTAACTTCAAATTATAGCTGAGAACAGTGGTCTTTATTTGTCCTACGATGAAAAAAAAAATCACATAAATGGTAGCAGAGTATTTATTTCTGTTGGCCAATGCTGTTTATCCAAAGAAAGACTCCTTTAAAATGTTCATATTTGTATTCTCAGTGGAGTTGCTGATCATGACTGTTCTATATAGCCAGAGCTGTTGGGGATCACCTTATTGGTTGTGTTGGGAGAAATTATGATGAGGTTTTTATATAGCAGCACTTCACATGTGGAGCCCACTTATCTAGTAACTGCAGTGTTCTGGAAGACATCTGAGATGTAAGCAAACAGATCTCTAAATGGCTGAACTAGATTTCCATAGTCTATGCACAAAGGTTCATTGGTTTATTTATAGGAGAGCCTCTCTGACCTCTGAATCATCTAAAATTTATGCACAATTATAATAAGCTTCCAACCCAGAAGTGTGTGAGAATCAGCAAATCAGAAGAGGAACATTTGGGTTAAAGGCATACTAAAGGCTCCTAGCAAGAGAGGGGGAAACTGAAAAGCAAACAGAAGTTTAAAAAAAAAAGATTGTGGCTGAGTATAAGGGCTAAGAACCTATTAATGGACCCTGAAGTGTCAATGGCATAGAACCATAAAATAATTGATGTTCTTATGGATACTCGCGTCTTCCGCCTTTTCTTAAATTATAGTAATACCCTTGCATGGCATTTTACATGTCACAAAGTACTTTCACACATTTAATCTCATAGCAATGCCAATGAAGTAGGCTGGGCAGATGTTTTTTTCCCAATTAAAAGAGGCAGCAGCTAGACTTAGCCAATATAAGGGACTTATTGCTACTTACAATTAGTAAGTAGCAGAGCTGGGATTAGAATAAAGATCTAGTGCCATTCTGTTTGGTATAATCTGTTGAACAAGGGGACAAATATCACACTTTTAAGAAAAATTTCCAGCTCAAGTGGCTAAAAATAAGGGGGAATGTTAGCTATCTGGAGATTTGATTTACTTCGCCTCCTTCCTTGAGGATACTGGAAAATATAAGTACTTATTTTTGCTGTATATACGAAAGATGTTTCTGCATCAATAGCATAGCAAAGAAGGAAAAATTAATTTGCCTCTCTGTACTTCACTTTGCTCTTTTCTAAGATGTGAAGATTCTTATCAACTCTGTCTAGGCTCATCTCTCACTACTCCCTGACAAAAATACCCTAAGCTCTGGCTGCACTAAAATACCTACTTTGACTCACTGCTCTTTGTTGTTCTTTCGCCCCATCCCCTTCTGCTTTCTATCATAATATTGATTACATTATAATGAGTATATCACAGTGTACTCTATAAATCTCAATACACTTAGCTATGTGCTGTTTTAACCTGCAAAAAGTAGGGCATTGATGAATGAAGTGGAAAGGAGGGAACTGATGAAAGAGACATGCAGAAGTAAAATCTTCATGATTTGACAACTGGTTAGATATAAAGGCAGGGAGAAAGAGGACTCAAAGTGACTGCAGTTTTATTTCTTGGCGACCGGGGGAAAAGTGGTGCCTTTATTACCAGTAGAGAAATTGAGAGGAGTTGGTTGTTTAAAGGGACAGAAGATAAATTCTTTCTGGGCATGTTGGGTGCAAGGTGCTACTGACCCCATGCCATTTTCCAAAGCAATATGCCATATCTTTTTTAAAAAACTCCACAAGCTTCCTATCTCACCACCTTTCACTTTCAGTAAATGACCCTTCTCACTTCACAGAGAAGACAGACACCTATCTTGTATACACGTCAGCTTTCTTCTTAAAATGTCTTTACCTTCACATGTGGTGTTTTCTCCTAATGATTCATATCTTTTCTGACTCTCCTGTCACTTTGCTTGGTCTGTCATCTCCGTTTTGTGTATTCAGTCTCTTCTTCACTGGCTCTTTTCCTTTCACCTTCTTTCCCCGACTCACATGTCTAATATCTGGAGAATAAACTTTTTAAATTTTTTCATA